TTAATATTCTTCCTACAGAGGTGAACAGCGTATCTGTAGTTCGCTCCTGTCACCTGACCTTACTTCCATTTGCTAGACACTGATTTTCTACCCCAGCTCTAGAAGATCGAGGCAAACCCATCCCGTGTCCCACTTCCATGACTTTTGACATATTGCATTTGCCAGTTCCCCCGCTCTTCAAAAAGAGGAGGTGCTTGAAGAGGGTCCAGCACTCATTAATGGAACCCTACAGAGATAATTCAGTGACATGATGAAGACATCAAAATATTCAAACAGAACGGTTTTATCTGTTCCACTTCATTGTTTTGATTTTGTAAATGCCAGTACAGAGTAAGCTGAGTGAGTCGACAGCTTTGCAGTATAGTGACAAAAAGAGCTGTGCAGGAACACGGCTGCTTGTTTTTCCTTTTCAAAACTAAGAGTGGTTCTGCATGAAATCGTGCCTTCTCATAGGTCAGAGATGTAGCACTGTCGTCTGGTGCACATCACTGGGGAAACACTTCACTTGGAATGGGTTGACACTTGAGAACAGACAGCATGTTTGCTATTGCTTCTTCTGCCATCATGTGGGTGGCTTGAACTGTTGCAGTTCCAATATGTGGGGTTATGATGACGTTATTTAATTTCAACAAAGGATGATTTCTGCAAGAAACAGCAAGGACAACGTATTACATCTGCAAGAGCAGAAAGAACAGAATGGATATCACATGTTGAGTTCATTCTTCTGCTAGTTGCTGAGATCAGAATCTCAGGAAACAGCAATGGTACTGATATGAGAGGGGCCACATACACAGGATTGGCAGAAAATGTTGGCAAATTTGCTTACCCATTTCTCTATCCTCTCTACTAGCCTCGGTGCCTTGCCTGGCACTCATGTTCACTTGAAAATGTGGCAGGGCAAAATAGCTGGTCATCAACATAGGATTGTGCAAGATAAAATGTGGATATGCTCTTACACAGTAAGAGACTCCCCATAGAGATCACAGTCATGAGTACACTTCTGCTCAGCATTTTACAAATTCCAGAGTAATAGAATGAATGCAAGTTATTCTACCTTGGCAGAGGCTCAGGGTATGTCACATCCAGAGCAGCAGCCTTAATAGTCTTATTCTGGAGAGCTTCCACCAGTGCATCTTGATCAATAACTGCACCTGCATTGAAATGATATCTTTGTTCCACAACAAGTCAGCGAACATGTTTTCACCTGGGAGTGGGGAAAGGTCTCAAGGCCCCAGGGGAAATAAATTCAAGGATCTATGTCTTGTTAGAAAGTAGAATGTCTTTCTAGTAATCATCAACCAAACAAAACAAAGACTTTATTAGCCTTCACCACAGAGCCATAACCACTTCTGGGAGATACGCCTACCTCGGCTGATGTTTATAAGAGTGGCTGTGTGTTTCATCAGCCCCAGCTCCTTTTTCCCAATCAGCTTTTCAGTCTCAGGTGTCAGGTTCACAACCAGCATAACAAAGTCAGATTGCTGCAGCAAGTCTTCCATCTCACTGTAGCAGGCACCAACGGCCTGCTCCTCCTCCTTGCTCCTGAAGGGAAAATGCACACCTAGTTTGACACAGCTATTCTGAACTGTTTTTAACAGTCAGCAAATCAGTCAGTCAATCCTAAACATCGTCTCAAACAGCATAGATATTAAGAAGTTTGAAGCCAGGAGAAAGGAAGAGACATTGCTATGTACCAGTGAATCACAGAATCATAGAATGGCCTGGGTTGAAAAGGACCACAATGATAATCGAGTTTCGACCACCCTGAGTCCCATGAGTCTCTGGCCAACCACCAGACAGGTTGCCCAGAACCACATCCAGCCTGGCCTTGAATGGCTCCAGGGATGGGGCATCCACAACCTGTTCCAGTGTGTCACCACCCTCTGTGTGAGTCAAAGCGGCAGAAGGGAGGGGTGAGAAGGTAGAGGATTAGAGAGGCCAAGAGGGCAGCGGAGTGGCAGGACCCTGGAGGATTGACATAAATGTGAAAGCAAAGCACACAGGTGGTATTAGGTATAGGAGGATGGGTATGCAGGTCTCATTCTTCTCTCCTGCTGATGTATCAGTACAGTCCCCACCAACTCTCTCTCTGCCTGACTTGCCAGTTAGAACTTACAATGGAAAAGGAAGCAAAGAAAGGTAACGATAAAACAAAGTGAGGATCTTTGCCATCAAGGTGATGAGTGAACCGGCTGGGCTGAAGGAAGGAATGACAGCCTGGATGCCTAGGGACCTTGCCAGAAGCCTGAGAGAAGATACTGGCAGGACATAGTCTGGCTTGCTTGGCTTACATCTTCAGAAAAGTTAGCGTCACCCTTCCTTCAAACCTGCCAATAGCTGAGAAGGGATGAACAAGGACTGGGAGGTGAATGGGAGCTGCTTCCCAAGGGGAGAAGTAGGGAACCGAGAAGAGCAGCAGAGGCACACTGGCGGTGGTCCTCATGTTGCTTCAAACTGTTACCAGCACCTAGGAAGAATGGGGACATAGGCCAGAGCTGTGGTTTCCATTTCTGCCCCTGGACCAGTTACACACAGTAAACAAACATTTTTACCTGCGGTTCCTGTTGTGGTACAGGATCTTCATTTCAAAGGCTCTGGCTCTCTGAGCCACTTTATACCCGATTCTTCCCATCCCAATGATCCCAAGAGTCGCCCTGGTAACTTCAACTCCCAGCCAGTCAGCAGCAAAATACTTTGTGTCTGGAGAAACTGCTATCTGGGAGCCTGAATGGGAAAACATGCTACAGGTATGAACTGATGACAAATTCAGGTCCAAACAGAGAGGAAAAGTTTCTCACTGTCATAGTAGTTGGTTTCTGGAACGCCCCTTACAGAACATCCTAAATTTTAAGGGGGTGGGCAATGGCTGTTTTTAGAAAGTCTTGGACAGTGTAACAGTCAGGACTGGAAGCAGTGACACAGAAGAGATTATTGATGGTGGTATTCTGCTGAGAGGGATTACCACCTTAAGGAAATAACGCTTCTGTGTCTTCAGTATTTTCTTTGAAATTCAGAAACAGCTTCTGGGGCATTTACCAACCCACAAGCACTGCCTTCACTTTATTTTTTCTGTGCCAGGAGTAAAACTCCCTGTCTATCTCCTGGATCTCAACCCAATCCAGTCATACTACTTGAAGGGGGTGAAGTTATACTGCAGAGTCTAGCTTGGCCAGTGATCTCATTAAGCCTTTATAATGTTGAACTTCAACTTAATAAAAGAAAGTCCAACCTCTACTGCCGTACCACCACCATCTGCCTCCAGCACAGTGGGCCAATGTAATAAATTAGGAGGCATTACTTTTGGAGCATCACTCAACATGCTCTCATAATTTCTGCTCTAGCAATGGGGACGTGGCCATCTCTAGATGCTGTGTACCTTTGTACAACTATTAAAAAGTACAGAATAAGGAAAAAGAGAAGCAGTGACATTTTATCTGGATGCATTTCATATTCAGTTTTCCAGCTATAAGCAACACTCTAAGTAAACATCCAGATAGAACTACACCCCTCACATTATTCTAAACAGGGTACCACGCGTGACTTCAAAGCACATAATTGAGACAAATGTCTTACTCTTGTCACTGTTGCCTTGAGAAGAGGTGGGGTTGAGACAAATAGAGGCCTCCAGAAAGAGAGTTCTCAGAACACTGTTTTCTTGCAAAAGCATCCCAACTATTGATTCTGACACATATAGTTAATATAGCAAGGTGAAATATGCCAAAGGAGCAGATAAGATCGAATGAGATTTAAAACATTACCTTCCACAAGTCTTCTGGCAGATGCCAGCATTAGGGCCATTCCCATGTCTGCTGTTGAGTCAGCAACAGCGTGTGGGGTATTAGTCACTTTTACACCAAAGTTAGAAATCATTTTCAAGTTTAAGTGATCCACTCCAACACCAGAGTTTCCAATGACCTTTAAATTAGGCAGGCTTTCTAGAAGCTCCTTGTCGATAGCTGGCCTGCACTCAGACACAAAAATGGATTGGATTTTTTTCCCCATTTCTTTTTTGTTTTCAAGAAGTTCTTTCATGGTGATAACGCAAAAGTGTTTCTTCAGAAGCGCTGCAAGGCTTTCTTGCACACCATGAGTTCCTCCAACATCCATAATCAAAAGACCTGGCAACTCCTGTTCTGCCATGACCTGCAGTGGAAGAACAGAAGTTGCTGTTTAGGAGAACGTCACTCAAACAGTGATGGTGTGGCCATCATTTAAATTCATACCTGTGAATCAGGAAATTAATGGGACTCCATAGTCCTTTTAATGATACAGCACAAATTCACAGTCACTTGGGACTAGCGTGGCCTTACATTAGAAAATGGTCTGATATCTCCATTAAGCACCAGCTTACGCTGCAACACCAAGGTACAGTCACCTTCTCGGATCTAAATCTGGTTCAGGACCTACAAGGTGCTCTCAAATAGCTTCATTTCAGTCCAGAAACCCTACCACTTTCATACCAATCTGGCAGCTTCTTAACCTAACTCACAAATTGATGTATCACAAAGGGTGGTACATAACTGCTGCTAGGAAGTTAGTCCAAGTTGTTTGCCTATGAATTATGTTTGGTGAAGCTGCAGGTTGTGTTGGGAGCCAGAGGTTCAGACAGGTCTGACAAACCTACCTCACTTGGAATGGGTTAGGTCTAAAAAAAATTGCCCAGTGAAGGACTATTCTTGTATGGCTGCTACACTGCTTGCTCTAACTGCTTTAAACCACTGCATCCAAAACCTATAGCCTCTGAAATTTAGCATCACAAGTCAGTCTTTTGCACATCCGTGCCTTCAGGCAGAACCAGTGGGGAAGAGTGCTAAAGGTGACAGGCTAAGGCCTGCTGGCAACACAGCCCTTCACACCAGAGCTTTCCCCTTGCCCAGGCAGTTTTGAGCCTGGTCCCACCTGCAACAACCCATGCAAATCTATCATATTCTCCAATAAGACAAAGGCTCCTCAGATAGCCACGTATGCAACTTGAGGGGTGAAACTGCAGCCCTTACTGACAATCATGACCCTCATTGACAAAAATGACAGCAGAAGATTTGCTAATCTTAGGAATCTTAGTAGCAAATCTTAGGAATATTCCGGTCTGATTTCCTGATTCTGTTTCTTGCACTCCACTCATACACCTAGGTCTTTGTCCCATATACTGTACCCTAGATTTGGGTTGTGCTGAATGAATCTGCATCTCTCTTCCACAGCAGTATTCTGATTAATTCCAGGCATGCCCTGCCAGGCAGAACTTCCCTGCTGTTCCTGTCCTCTCATGCAAGCCTTCAGAATTCAGTCCTGGGACAAACAACGTACTGTAAGTTTCTGAAAAGCCTTCTCCTGAGCAAACTCCAAACTTAATCCAGCTGCATCTATTAAATGATTACAGTCTCAACAACTGTCATGTATATTATATGTCATTATTTATTGCCATAAGCTGAAGTGTTTTAAAATCTACCAGCCCCAGGTGGTTGGGAAAATACTGCCAGTGTTCCCATTTGTAGTCTGTTTATTTCTTGGAGTATCATACAACACGACCTTAGAAGGAAAAATTAGACTCCTCCTCTGGAAAGAACACACAGATGGAAAGGCAAGACAATGTCATCGCGACAGTGTTATTCAGCATCTCAATTACCAGAACTTGATGATACTTCAGTAACTTTGACTGAACAGCAACTAAACCTTATGTATGCAGTTACACGACAGAAAACTGCCTGGACAATGGATACGATCAAGTGACTAACACAAGCAAGTAAGACAGGACTGTATTACATCATTTGCCTTCTTCACCATGATGACAGCATCACCATCACTGTGACACTCAGAGTCAAACCCACATTTATTTTAGAAGCACCTTCTAAACTTCACAAACAGAAAGACAATTCATGGGGAAGCCACAGAGCAGCGCAGCAAGAGTTGATTTAGCTTTAAACAGTTCAGCTTGTCCACACACACACACACACACACACACTAAGTTCCATGTAATTACTCTGCTCATTACTGTGGACATGTGGAAAAATTCACAATTTCATTCACATTTGATGTGCACAGGAACTGTTTGCAGTGTTGCTTCAAGAGCAAGGCTTCTGCAAGTACAAAGTATGATCTTAAAAAATGATATTGCTAGCAACAGCATAAATACAGTTAAAGGAATCCTGCAAAGGGAAGGAGGCTTTCCAGATACTAACCTTGGTTTGAGGAGCACACAGTGCTGTCATGGACCACTATCTGTGCTCGTCTTGTACCTCTGTCTAAAAGCCACGCTTTTCCTGTCACATCAAAGTCCTTAAGAAGGGATAGCTGGATGAACACCTTTACAAGCCAAATTCGTCTGGTCAACTATCAAGTGAATAGATTTTAACAAATCCAGTGTTTTGCTCCTGAGCATAATTATTCAGATGTTGGATGTCCTGTCTAATATGCTAAATGTATCACCTGTTAAGGATATGACAATTTTGATTTTCTCTCTCCACATTTTCTCTTTACATAAAATGATCTACTTCCACACGTGTATACATCCATAACCACATGTAACACATTAACAGAATGTATGTGTACTGATATCAAATCCTTGCACTGAAAATTTTGAATATGTGACTCAGATTGAGACAAATAGGCAAATAAACAGACCCACTCATAGGTATTAACTTCAGTGCTGGTGTTTTCCTAAACTAGCCGTATTTCTTTCATGGAGCTTGACTCACTACTTATTTCCTTTCATAGCCACTGACTGGCACTGGTGTATCACTTTGGACTTAGCCAAATCATAGCAAAATAAACCTCCCTATTTTTCCCTATCTTTGTTTTAAATTGAAGTTTATAATGTACATCACCCAGAATAAACTCCTCCCACTTACTTATCTACTTATCAGAAGAAAACTGATTACCTCAATAATAACCAAAGAATTAGCCTGGAACGGTTCCTTACTGTTGATGCTTCTTTTACCAACAGAGCTCACAGCTCCTAGAGGAATCAGCAGCATGTAACTTCCTTGTGTTTGCAGCACAGTCCCTATTACCTGCTGCAACCTCTGAGTCAAGGCCAATCGAATGTGACTTAGCTGCTAGTGCCAGAACCTCCTCTCACAGAAATTTGAGCAATCCACTGCTACAAGCACTTGTTTAACTCTTGCTCTCCCTGACTGTTTTTGTCCTCTGAGGCAAAGGACTGCTGAAGTATCTGAAAGCTTTCAGCGAAAACCACTGGAAGTGGCACAAAACTCCAACGCAGCCTGCCATGCAGATGGATGGGACATCACTCCTGCATGGCTTCTGCAGGGCCATCTGAAGCGAAACTAACTTCCTCTCACTTTCCTGAAAATTGAGGAAGGTTTTCTAGAGGACATCCCACAAAATACTGCAGAACAAGGGCTTTTGTACTGTTTTGGTTTTGTTTTTTTTTAATTACACAATCCTGTGGCAAATAACTTGATACAAACTCCACTGACTTTCCTGGGATCATTCCCCAAAACATTAGTGCAGGTTTCTGTGGATTCTATTGAAAATACACTTTTCTTTTCGCTGTCTGCTGCAAGCTAACATTTTGAAAGAACGTACAATGTACAGGCGTGACTTTGAGGAAGCAAAAAGATCAGCCTGTGTCATGGTTTTAGGAATTTTGTTATCAGTATTCCACATCACAGCATCCTGTAGTGCACTGGGAGTTAGAGTTAATGCTCCAGTTCCAAGGATCACGGAGAGTTTCCAGATGCCCTTTGCAGAAGAGAAGAACTACATCTCCCAGAAAACTTTGCTATTCCATTCTCATTTTCCGTTCAGAGGGAAAGATGGAACTGCTTGGGACTCACGAGACTGCCCTTCTTCTACTGCTCGTCACGCGTGCTGCCCAGCCACCTGGCCTTCAGCACTACAGTAAGGCCTTTGGTTCTGGACACTCATTTATTACTTTCAATTCCAATGGCATTATATTGCCTTATCACACTTTCCGCTATCATAGCTAGTAAATTAGTTTTCTCCCTTAGCTCGTCGCTGTTTTGTTTTTAGGCCCATCTCCCCACCTTTTCACCACCCCCTCCCCCCCATCTTGGGCCACGGGTCCCGTTCAGTTACGGAACCGGGCCAAACCGGGTCAGAGCCGTGACAGCCCGGAGCGGCCCATCTCAGCAGTCAGTTCAGTTGTGACACCCAGCGCTGGCAAGGGAAGCATCCTGGTTTAATTATGGAAATATCATCCGAAATATTTACCCCGGGGCGCTCAGGCACCGTCCTTTCAGCCGCTCCGCCGACTTCCGCCGCCGCCCAGCCCCTCCCCTCGGCTGGCATCACCGCCCCACGCTACGGACAACACGTGGATCACACGTTGGCCGCCTGCCGCACGGGGGCACAACGCGCCCGCCCAAGCGGGCACGCTCGGCCCGCGGGGAAACATCCACCGCTCCAGGCCCCAGCGCTCGGGCGGGCCGCTTAGCGGGCGAGAAGGGGCTTCGGGGACACCGAGCGGTCGGCACCTCGCCTCTGCAGCGGGAGCGTCTGCCTGGCCCGAACCGGCAGGAAACTCCCACGGGCGCCGCCGTAGCCCCCCCCACCCGCGCTGCCTTCAACTCTTCCGCCGCGTCCTACACGGCTGCAGCCTGCGCCCCACCAGCCCCAACGCGTGCGACTGCTGCGGTGCAAACAGCCCAGCCCAGCCCATTCATTCTATTCCATCCCATTCCATCCCATCCCACCCCATACTATTCCATTCCATCTCATTCCACTCTATTCTGTTCCAGCCCAGCCCAGCCCAGCCCATTCCACCCCAGCCCATTCATTCTATCCCATTCCATCCCAGCCCATTCCATTCCATCCTATTCCACTCTGTTCTATTCTATTCCAGCCCATTCCATTCCCCCCCGCCCCTCGGAAGAAACCGCGCCCCCTGGCGCCGCAGTGGCGGCAGCAGAGCGGAAGTTGCTGTCGCTCGGACCGTTGCGTCACTTCCGCTGCGCCTCGGGCGGCGCTCGCGCGGCCAGGTCCCGCCGAGAGAAGGCCGAGAAGAACGGGGCGGGGGCCTTGGGGTGCGGAGGGTGACGCGGCCCGAGCCGGGGGCTGCGGGGTACCGGTGCGGGAGGGGCGGCGGTCGGAGCGTGCGGGCCGGCCGGGCTCTCAGCCGCCGGCCGCTTCTTATCGCCCCGCAGGCCGCCGCCGCACTCCCGCCCGCCGGGATGTCGTACATGCTGCCTCACCTCCACAACGGCTGGCAAGTGGACCAGGCCATCCTGTCGGAGGAGGATCGAGTGGTGGTCATCCGCTTCGGGCACGACTGGGATCCGACGTGCATGAAAATGGACGAGGTTCTGTACAGCATCGCCGAGAAGGTGAGGCGGGGACAAGGGGACGCCTTCTGCGCGTGCCGAGCGTTCTGTGCGGCGCGAGGCGGCCCTAACCTGGCTTCTGCAGACGTGAGCTCACAGGAAAGCCGTTTGGTGCGCTTTCACGAGCATCTCCTGAAGCCTTTGTCTGCTCCGGTCTTTGTGGCGTTTGATGTGCTGCAAAGCACTGCGAGCTCTGAACCCGGAACTGTTCACACTGCGTCGTTTCGTGGATGTCAGCGTTCAGACAGAGGCAGTGCTGGGCAGTAGGACTGCTGGTACTGAGCTTCACAATAGGAACACGTACAATCACAGGACGTCCCCAGCTGGGTAAGGACCCGCAAGGGTCCAAAGTGAGCGGTCCATCCATCAAATCCATTCTTCTCCAATTTGGTGATCAGGATGTTATCAGGACAGCATCAAATGCTTCGCACAAGTCCAGATAGATGACATCAGTTGCTCTTATCTACTGATGCTGTAGCTCCACCATAAAAGGCCACCAAGATTGTCAGGCATGATTTGTCCTTGATGAAGCTGTGCTGGTTACCACCAATCACCTCATCTTTATTTTCCATGCACCTTAGTAGTTTCTTGCCAGGCACAGAGGTGAGACTGACTGGTCTGTAGTTGTCTGGATTTTCTTTATTTCCCTTCTTGAAAATGGGGGAGGTGTTTCCCCTTCTCCAATCAGTGGGAACTTCACCAGACTGCCATGACCTTTCAGATATGATGGATAGTGTTGGCAACTTCATCTGCCAGTTCCCTCAGAAGCCATGGACAGATCTCATTGGGTCCCATAGTTGCATAGTGCACCTTCAGGTCCTTTAGATGATCTCATACCTGGTCTACACTTACAGTGGGCAGATTTTCCTTCTCCCAGTTCTTACCTTTGCTTTTTGCAACTTGGGTGATGCAGCCAATGATGAAAACAGGCAGAGAATTCATTGAGTACCTTTCTCCATATCCCTCGTGACCAGATCTCTAGTTTCCTTCCAGACAGGGCCCACATCTTCTGTAGCCTTCCTTTTATTGTTGATATACCTGTAGAAATCCTTATTCTTCACCTTTATGTCCCTGGCTAGATTTAATTCTGTCTGGGTTTTAGCTTTCCTGACCTATCTCTGGCTGCTCAAACAACCTCTTTGTAGTCGTCTCAGGTAACCCATTCTTGCTTTCACTCCCTGTAGACTTTTTTTTTTGCACACAGTTAAGTCCAGGATCCCTTGTTCATCCACAGAGGCCTGCTGGCATTCTTGTCCCTCTTCCTTGGGATGTTGTTCTGGACTTGCAGGGCACAGTCCTTGAATACCGATGAGCTTTCTTGGACCCCTCTTCCCTCCGGGGCTTTATCCCATGGCACTGTCCCACCCGGAAGAAGTAGAAGTCCATAGTGACAACCTTGCTGCACATCCTCTTTGAAGCCTTAGGGATCTTGAACTCCACCATTTCATGAATTCTGCAGCCAAGGCTGCCGTCGAGCTTCACATTACTCACCAGCCCCTCCTTGCTGGTGAGGACAAGTTTCAATGGAGCACCTTTTCCTGTGGATTCCTTTACCACTTGGAAGAGGAAATCATTGTCACTGCATTCCAGGAACTTCTTTGATTTCTGATGCCCTGCTGTGTTGTCCTTCTAACAGATATCAGGGTTGCTGAAGTCTCCCATGAGGACCATGTTTTGTGAATGCAAAGCCACTCGTGTCTGTTTATAGAGGGCCTCATCCACTCAGTCTTCCTAGTCAGGCTGCCTATAGCAGACCTCCACTACGATGTCTCCTTCCCTTGCCTTCACTTTGACCCTAACCCATAAGCTCTGCGTCAGCTCCTCATCCATCCCCAGATGCAGCTCTGTGAGCTCTAGCTGGCCGTTGCTGTAGAGGTTGGCACCCCCTCTTTCTTCCCTGCCTGTTTTTCCTAAAGAGTTTATAACCATCTATTCCGACATTCCAGTCATGAGAGCCATCCCACCACATCTCAGTGATGCCAATGACATCATAGCCCAGTGTAGTGGGAATGCTAAGTCACAACTTTGACACAGTGATTGAGCACCTGGTGGGAAGGCAGGGCCAGCCCAGGGGCAGCCTGCCTACCTGAGGCCTTCCAGAGGTAAGCAGACTTTCTTTCTTCATTTCTGCATCCATGGCTGTTGCATCTGGGCTCATCCTCATTTGCTGCAGCCACTGACTTTGCCACCCTGCTATTCTTGCTGTACTTTCTATGACATTATAGCATTACACTCTGTAGGCATGCTCACTTCTATAACTGTTCATGCTTGTTCCCCATGCTCTGTGCATTAGTGTTACAGACATCTGAGTTGGACTCCCATTGAGGCTGATTTACCAATTGGGAGTTCCCTTGTCTTGCACCTCAGGTGCTATTTTGCTGGCCTGTGATCCAGCTCCAGGTCATCCATTACTGCTGTCAGCCTCAAAGTGGGATGGGTTGAGGATCCCCTCCCTGACAAGTGCTCCCGACTAAATTGGAAAGCTAATTGCCAGAGATGGTGTTCCCCCTTCTGGGGATGAATGAACCCCAGAAGACCAACTTCTCAAAGCTTGTTCCATGGCATTAAGTAGCCCTTAACCATGTGTTGATTTTTCTCAATTCTATTAGCCCTTTCCTTCCCCATCCCTTTAACAAGGAAGACTGATGAAAAGGCTGCCTGTGCTCCTAAGTCCTCCAGTGCTGCTTCTAGGTCTTTCTAGTCCCCGCCCCCCTTCTTCAGGGTGCTCACAACTGCCTCACTGGTGGCACAGGTGCTTACGTGAAACAGCAGCAGCAGGCAGTAGTCAGTGGGATGTACAAGGTATGGCAACCTCTCTATCAAATCCTTGATGCAGGCAAACAGCAGACTTCTCTAGGTAGTGGGTCAGGAAGACAAGTGGCTCTCTACCCCTCAGAAGAGAATCACACATTCCCCCTGCTGTCACCCATTGCTTTTTCTTAGTTGTGGTAGTTATGCAACAGGGAGCTGGTCTGGCTGCCTTACTCAGTTCTGAGGGCTGACTTGTTAACTGTTTCTTTTTTAGTCTGTAGAACTGAGAAGCAGTTCTGCAGAGGCACCTCAGGCTTTGAGGCAGGCTTCTTCCTTCTGTTAGTCTTCGTCTTGGTAAATGCCTGGGCAAACTGTTAGCAGTAATAAAATTTTTAGTTGTAAGCAATGCATTTAGCAGAGTAATGTTAAATTTACATGGGAGAAGAGAAAAACACCTAAACCTACAGAATACTTGGAACCTGGTTGGAGATCCCTCCCTTGCGCAGTCTTTCCTGTGAGCCTAGTTCTTTGGAGATGGGTGAGCACTTTTCCTTTGAAACACCATTCCATCCACGCTAGTCCCTGTGCTGTTACACTCCTGTATCACCCTTCCAGTGCATGAATCTTCCTGACTGTAACACTGTGCCAGCCTGAATTCAGCAGTACTGGAATTGCTTTTGCCTACAGTGTAGCTGAAGCTAACCAAACCTTACAAAAGACAGTTGGCTCTCTGTAAAGGCAGTTCAGGGGCTCTGTATTGCTGAGACTTGCTCCAGTATTGTGGTGATAGATGACAAAATAAGTGCTCCTTCAGGCTGTGAAACTGGTTGCTACTGTGCAGAGAGACATCTGCATAAGTACTCAGAGCTCTAGATGGTGTTGAAAGAAAATGCTTCTTGGTGACAAGCCTGCCCAGTCTGTTGTGCTGCTGAGCAGTAGATATGGCCACTGTTGGGCTTCTTCAGTACCCTATCTTTATTTTATTCTTAGACCTAAATCTTAGGCTGCAGGATAGTTGCATGCTAAGGCCCATGTCATAGGCAAATGTAGCAGTCAGCATCCAAACACAGAACAATACAGTGTACTTTCTAGAGCTAAGTGGTTTCAGAGTGGTGACCACTGTGGAAAAGTATCTTCATTGTGGTTCTTGGTTCTCATCTTGTTAGACTTGAAAGCAAGAAGAGGTATATTTGAAAGAAGAAGGCAGGGGGGAAATAATAAAATTTCCACAGTTTTGAATTCAGAGCGAACAGTCCTCTCTCTCTAGCTCTGAGGACATCATACAAGGTTTTGGGTGAGCCACCCTGTCATTGCTTCCACTTCTTTAGATGAGTAGCTTGCTTTCTTTTATTCATATGTAGGAGAGAAGAAAGATTCAGTTAATGTCCAAGAGACTTGGATTATGGTGGTAACCTTGTGTGTGCAAAGGCAATTTGAGTGAAATGGCCCTTTGAAGTGAGTTTCCTTAAATAAGTTGGCTAAGACTTGAACGAGACACCTCGTTTGAGAAGTTTGAGAAGGTAAGCTAAAGCATTCCTGAACTGTGATTCTTGTTTCTAAAATGGAAACTTTAGATTACTTTTTGAAACCCACCTCTTGCCCCCTCAGGCTAACCAGAGAGGAACACCCGCCGGTTCTTAGTAGAACTATTCGTTTTGAACATCCTCTTAAGTTTCTTAGATATCTTTCATGTGACATTGAAATGGCTGTGAATTGCTCTAGGTAAAAAACAAGAATGTGAAGCTATTTTCTTTCAGGATTTAAGACAATAACTATGAGAGGAGAGTGCTACACCATTGTTTGGTTGATCCTAAGCGATTTGTGCATTGCTAGGCCTCCTAATTGGCAAGAGCCTCTGCCATGGTAGTGCAGGGCAGGACATGGACTTCATTACAAGCTGTCCCTGGCTGCATTATGAGTGGCTGCATGTGGTCCACGGGTTGCACATATCTGATACATTGCTTTTGTATTTTCTTTTTCCTTCTCCTTAGGTAAAAAACTTTGCTGTTATTTATCTTGTGGATATCACTGAAGTACCAGACTTCAACAAGATGTATGAGTTGTATGATCCCTGCACAGTCATGTTTTTCTTCAGGTACACGGTGGTTCTAGAATATAATTCAACTGAATGTGTTTTAGTACAGTGTCTCAGTAGAACTACAGATCCATATCAGTATACTGGTGGTTATATATCCGTTGTTCTAGGAAAGTGTAAACTCTTACCAGGGAGTGTAACCATAGGACAAGGGGTAATAATTTTAAAATAAAGTATTAGATTTAGATGAGATGTTAGAAGGAAATTCTTTATTCAGAGAGTGGTAAGGTGCTGGTTTATCAAAGAAGTTGTGGGTGCACCATCCCTGGAGGTGTTCAAGGCTGGGCTGGATGCAGTTTGGGGCAACTTGATCTAGGGGTAAGCAGCCCTGCCCACAGCAAGGGGGTTGGAATGATCCTCCAGCCCAAGCCATTCTGTTATTCTATGACTGAATAAGAAAATGCTTTGTTTTGCAAGGCAATTTAGCATAGTAATACTATTTTGATAATAAAGCACAAATTAGTGATAGCGAAAACTGCTTTTGTTATCTGTTGGTTTAAGTTATAAGTTGAAAATCCATGTATAAAATGTTGCACTAATACAGCAGCCAAACTTTCTCTAATGGTATATGAAGAGCATTAAAAACTTTTTGGAGTTATGACATCTTTTAAGATAAAATGTACTACTGACAGTAGTAGAATTCTCACATTAGTCAGTCCTGGGAAATAAATGCAAGTAACGTGGATATGATGAAGAGTGATTGCATTGAATAGCAGTCTTGATGTGGAAGCACTGTTTGCAGTCTTGGTTGAGCTTTAGGAACAGGCAATAAAATATCAGCTGGAAGGTGATAAAGACCTTTCTTTCTTCCTTGGGGCTTCTTTGCAAACCTTTTTATGTTTAAAGATTTATTTTGAAGCCTACAAAGCATTCTTGAAGGAGGTGGGGGGATTGATGATCTTTTGAGGGTTTTTTTGGAGGGGTGGATTTTTTATTTTATTATTATTAGTTTTTTTTACTATTGTTATGCTGTTAACCTGTCTGTTTTCTTTTCTCCCTTTAAAGGAACAAACACATCATGATTGATTTAGGTACAGGTAATAACAACAAGATCAACTGGGCAATGGAAGATAAACAAGAAATGATTGACATTATAGAAACTGTTTATAGAGGAGCCCGCAAAGGTCGAGGTTTAGTGGTATCACCAAAAGATTATTCTACTAAATACAGATACTGACATTTTGTTGGGGCTGTGCTTTTCTTTTTTAACCCTTTCTCCACTTAAATTTATTTTTCTGTATGTGTGTACATACATATGTATATTAAAAAAGAAATAAACAGTCTTTCAATGTTGAGCGTGTTGTTAATTGTTTTAAACTTTGAATTCCATTTGGAAAAGGAAAGGACACAAAGCCTCAAACTGTATGACTGCAGTATTGTTCAGGGCTTTTTTGTTGTTGTTCTTTAAGACTTTACTTTCAGTTGTTCTTTTGGTATGATGTAATTTTGTACAAAAAAAGCCTGTTTGTAGAAAAATATTTCAGCTGCCTGCTTACTTCTGTGTTGTGGTTTAATCCAGCAGGTGGCTAAGCACCCTGCAGTTATTTCCAGTCATTCCCAGTAGGAGGGCAGAGAGAATTAAGAAAAAAAAAAAACCAACAACACTGCTTAGCAGCAGCTATAAGTGTTGGTGTGTTATCGACATTGTTCTTCTCCTAGAACCAAAACCCAGCATCATACCAGGCACTCTGGAGAAAACAATTCTGTCCCAGCTGAAACTAAGACATTTTGTTACACAAAAATCTGGGAAAGCTACAATATAGGTTTTTTAAATTTTTTTTCCTTAATAAAGAATAAAACAAGTTCCACTTATTTGCCTTAATGTTCTTGAAAGTTGGGAATGAAAACAGATGTTATTAGATGCAAAATCATAATCTTGTAGAGAAAGGGTTTTAACTATTTTTTCAGGATTTTCTTGCATAGCGTCTTGGTCTTTGTATACAGTAAGAAATAGGAATTTATGAAGGTGTATGTATTCATATTTAAGAAAACTAAATTAAAACATGTGATTCACACCTCACCTTTTAGCAAATCCAACTGGGTGTGATGATGGAATTTATTTTTCATGGTGATTATTCAGTTTGAAATACGCTGTAGTAGGCAGAGTAGTTCCAAAAGGTAATAGCTTTTTTTGGAGCTGGCTGCACAGTCGATGCTTGAAGAAAGGGTAAACTTCTTCCTGTAGTGTGAGCTCCAATTTATCAAATGGTAGAGCCAAACGTTAATATGCTCATGAGACTTGGATTGGTGCTGCATTTGTATGGCTTTTGAAGTTTCATATGCATTTCTGGTGATGTCTACTTTGCAGTAGTGGACCCAGTGTTGGTTTATTTGTTTTTGTTGTTTTTAGTTTGTTTTCTAACTGCAACATGCACGTTTACAGAATTAACAAAAAGCAAGTCAGACTGTGCATAAGGGGGTTTTTAAAGTTTTTTAAGTCCAGTTTGTCACAAGACTGAGTATCCAAAATAGAAGCTGCTTTGATGGTGGTCTTGCTAGGAAAATATTGCCCACACAGTCCATCTTTCATCGGACGAAATGGAAGTCAGAAGGCACCAAATTGGGACTGTGTGGTGGATATGGCAGGACAGCCAATATTGGCAGTGTGCTCCATGATCTTCAAAGTGGTGTGGGGCCTGGAGTTACTGTGTTACAAGAGGAAGACTGTCCTCTTGTCTGACCTGACTGGAGATTTGAGCCTTCAGCTTAGCATCATGATTTAGTGGTCAGAATTGATGGTTTGTCCATGTTCCAGGAAATTCAGAGGGATCACCACTTTCCTATCTTAAAAGACTGCACACCACTTTACTTACTGAGTACTGTGTCTTGAAATTTTTCTTCAAGGGGAATTCACATGTAGCCATCCCAGGGACTGCTGTTTTGACTACAACTCACAGTTGATGGCACCACATCTCATCACAGGTAATGATGCAATCAATGAAAGAGTCACTTTCAGCCTTGTATTGGTTCAGTAGGTGCTGACAAACTTGCATACAGTGTTCTTTCTGTTCCTGTGTTGAACATTTGTGGGACTCACCCGGTGCAAACTTTGCAATATTCTAGCATTGTTACCATAGTTTCCAGCATACTGAAGCTAATATTCAGTTCTCTGGTTATAATCTGCCAGTTTGTGTGGATGAGCTGATTGTCACGCTTTGTTTTGTGGTGTGACAGCTGTGCATGGCCATCCAGAACGTGGCAGTCATTTATGTTGCTGTCACCACTGCCAAAACACACCACCCACTGCCTCACCGTGCTCACATCCAGTGTTTGGTCTCCAGAAACATTCAGCAAACATCCATGAATGTCAGTTGGTGCCATTTTTCCGCATGGAGAAATTCAATGAGACACCTTCACTTCATCTACACCTCCACGTCAGATGCTTTTTGTCCTCTGCTGCTATCTGTTACACAGCAACAAAACATAATAGAATGCTGGCAGAAAGGTAGAAAGGTTCAACGTCTACTGCCATACCACCAACATCCATCATGTGCCAACATAATAAAGTGAGGCATTACTTTCAGAGCAGCCTTGTAATTCAATTCCTTGATTTGACATCGAGTAGAAAGTCTAGTTATTTTTATAGTTACTTCCATGAAACTAATTAACTGATTATAAAAAACTATTACCAATGGAGCACATACAATTCATTAACTACTTATCTGCCTATTCTGTATTGCCAGTTGTTTGAAGGCGTATTTGTAAGAACAAAGTTGTTTTACTTAGTATCTTCCCAGCACTGATCTGCGGTGTGAGCTGGATCGATGTGATTTATGCAGCGAGTTGTTGCATGTTAAGCATGCATATGTTGGTGATAACGACATAAACCATTTCAACATGTGGATGTCAACGTCTGGAAGAGGTTGCTTCTGAAATAATTTTAGAACCTGTATTGGGTGTATCACTGAACAGTGTTTTGCAGTGCAGTGCATAACAGGGTTAGTCTGTGTTTATCCTCAGTTGCAGTCCAGGACTTACCTTTGTACGTCTAATCAGTTAAAGCAGTAGAATGCACTTTGTTATTAATTTTTAGAGAATTCAGAAGGTGCAGAGGATGATTATGAGTGAATAAAGTACACTGCACGTTCCCAATTTTTGGATTATGGTGGAAGGCACCGCTTAAAGTCTGCTCTAGTCTTCCAGTCATAGTAGGTCTTGCTTGGCTTGCCTAAGCCTTTGAGCTAATAACTATATGGATTGAGATTCCTCTGCCTTTCTGGAGAGGCATTTCTGCTGCTTGAACGCCCTCAGAGCTCGAAAGTGTCCCAGCTAGAATCTCCTGTGCCTCTACCTTATGTCTAGTCTTCCCCCTTTTCCTGCAAACCTACTTGCCAGTCAGCCAACTCCTCACAGCTGAGCTGTGGCACAAGCTTATCGTCCTCGAGGTAAGATCTGCCACTTGTCTTTGAACTTCATGAGGTTTTTGTCAATCAATTATCTGAAAAGCAGCCAACTTCTCTAACCGGTTTGACAGTGCTTGCATATTTACACTGCTTAAAGCATTGATTAGAATTATATTTTGATATGGATGGAGTAATTTGTAGTAGACACTAAGCATTAACAAATGCCAGTTTTAAAAACATATCTTTCATTAGCTGAGGTGTTCTATTTAGCTGATAGCTCTTCAATTTCTGCATACGTTGAAAGAGATTTCCTGAGTTCCCACCAAAATTTTCCCTGCCTAAAGTGCTGGGTTTCTTTTGGTGTATAAAAACCACAACCACTGATTGTTAGCATTTAGTTCATTGGAACGTCCTTTTAGCTAGGATAAATTTATCAACCTCTCAAATCTTACTCGTTTTATTTCACCTGAATCAGGGCAATTTCAAAACTGAATACTGGCTCGGTGATCACTGGACTGAGAGCAGCCCTATGGAGGAGATCTTGGGGTGTTGAATGAAAAACTGAGCATGTGCTTGCAGCCCAAAAGGCCAGGGGTATCTTGGGCTGCATCGACAAAGGGGCAGCCAGCAGGATGGGGGCTGTTTGTCCCCCTCTGCTTGCTCTAATGAGGTCCTATGTGGAGCATTGTGTTCAGGTCTGGGGCCCACAGCACAAGAAGCGTGGAGGTGTTGGAATGTGTTCTGAAGGATGATCAGAGCTGAAACATCTCCTATGCAGTCAGGTTGAGAAAGCTGGATTTGTTCAGCATGGGGAAGGCTCTGTGCAGACCTTACAGTGATCTACCTGAAGGGCACCTACAAGAAAGCTGGGGAGGGACTCTTTATCGGGGATTCTGGCCGTAGGACAACGGGCTTTAAGCTAAAAGAAAGAGGGCAGATTTAGATCATATTGTGAAGAAAATCTTTACTCAGAGGGTGGTGAGGCACTGGCACAGGCTGCCCAGAGAAGCTGTGGGTATCTCATCCCTGGAAGTGCTAAAGGCTGGGGTTGGATGGGGCTGTGTGCAGCTTGACATGTTGGGAAGTGTACCTCCCCATGGGAGGGGGTTGGAATGTTTAGAAGGTTGGATATTTAGAGGTCCATTCAAACACAAGATACTCTGGGATCCTACTAGCATAGAAATAACTGTATTCTGTGGAAGTACTATCATTATTTTAGCTTAAAGTTGTTTACGTTCAGTGGACCTATTCATAAAGGCTTTGCAAAGGCATCTTTATAATAACATCAAATAAATTATGTATGGTATATTTTCAACAGGGATAGATGAATGTTCTAATGCAGAAAATTTAAATAACATCAAAATGGCACACACAACTGCAAAAGTATTGCCACAGGTATTCTGAGAAGGCATAAGAAGGCAACAAAGAAGCGTGATGGAAATTTTAATATTAGTAATATGAAATAAAATACACTTTTTACATTGGTAAGCTCACTACTATATCGGATAACTTTTTATCCATTTTTTTTTCTCCCCTGAGAATAATGGTTTATTCCCAATTACAGGAAATAGTGTCCCATTTACATGAATAAACCTAGCTTTCTGCTCCTTTCCTGGGACAATAATTCAAAGGAAAAGAAAAATGGAGAGTCTATCACGACGTGATGCAACCATCTTTGTTTTCACTGATGCTTTTTGTGACTAGTGACACTGTAAACGATGACACACTCCAGAGTCAGTGCAGAGCTGTTCTCCCTTTATCTTTCTCGCTCACATGCTTATTTCAGTGCTGTAAAGAAACAGTGAATAAGTAGGTTAGTGGTTAAACTATGCATGGACGTGATTCAGCATAAAATATGAAGATCTCTATACACTTTAATACACTTTCAAGAGATTGCTTTCTATTTTTGTAAAAATAATGACATAGCTTATCCTCAGGAAAAGAACAGAATGAACAGACGCCTAAATTACTTCAGCATAATTAGAAACATTCCTGTCTTTTGCTGAGTAAGCAGTCTCAGTCAGTTTAAACAAGGAAAGATTGCAAGAACAGCAAGAAGGAAACACAAGCACCTACCTTATGATGTGCAATAAATATTGACAACATCTGTGGGATCATTTGCAGCATATATACAGTGATGTAAAATCATGCAGGGTACCTTAGCATCCCATGATTTTTATATCACTGCTTGTACCTCCTAGCAATACTTGCCACTTGCACCCCGCATCTCACTGCCGCAAGGATGAATCACTGCTCTGGCCTGAGCAAAGGTGTTTATGAGGTGTGTTCTGAGCCACAATAGGAAGCTGTAGCAGTTTTTAAAAGCGATGTACATAAACTTAGAGCAGAGAGAATCCTCAGTCTATCTTGTTAGTACAGCCGAGGGAGACGACTAGTAGGCAGGAGCACTTGAAGCCACACATACTTTCTTACAGATATGCAGCACGTTTACAGATTTAGTTTGCACAACCCCTTAGATTTGTGAGACAGCTGGAACAGATGTGGCAAGCTATAGTTCCAGCTCCTCTGAAGAAGTGGTAGCATTTTTTGGCTCTTAGCAAAAATAAATCCAAGGTAAGTTTAGATATTTAAAATAAATCCTCACTGTATATTAAAATATATTTAAAAATATATTAAAAAGTAAAGCAAGGTATGATAAAAAATATAAGCTGTTTTCTTCTAAACTAACTGGCAACATAAAAAAAAAAAAAATAAATATAACTGAAGGTTTTTTTTACTCTCAATCCATCATCAGTGTTCTCTATTCCAGCCTCTGCCATCAGGTCAGCAACATGCTTCTCAAGGTCACTGATGCGCTCACCCATTTCTTCCAGTAAAAAGTTAAAGAGAACTTTTATAAATAAGAATTGTTATCATTGTATACGTGTTTTTTTTTTCTTCTGTGAGAAAAATACAAAGCTTTCTTTCAGATGCCTCAGCCTTTCACTTAATCATGCTCAACACTAATGCAATATGAATCTTGCAGTTGTAGCACAAGATTGTATTATAACAAGGCAATCCTAATTTCTCTTGCAACACAGAAGCATTCAAGTTCTAAATATTTTCAAATGGTTTCCTATCTGCCCATGAGCGTACCGGACTATTTTCTGTGTAAAATATTGTCTCTGTTCAATGAACTATTTTAGGTAATACCACTTGGTCAACATGTATAATCCAAATGTCATCAGAATATAACTGCTGATAAACATCAGTTTTTTATCATTAATTATCTCCAAGGAAGCAAATTCCTGAAAGTGGGGATGTGCGTGTGTCAGAAAAAAATGCAGAACGTGGCAATTCTGCAGTTTCAGAAAGCAGAGGGAGCTCCTGTCAACCACATCGAACAAGAACGGATGCTTCCTTTCATTTGTGGGCTCCCCTTCCCATGCTCAGGGGCCTCAAAGAGTTGTTTCTAACCCACGGACATGCAGGGATATGCTAATTCAAGGGGCACTTTTAAATGTGCCTTCAGAACAGTTCCACAAAACATGTAGCTTATTTTACTTGAAATCTAGAACTGCTGGACAGAAACCAGTGGGATTCACAGTGCTGTTGGTAAAACCTATTTTAGGCTTTCTTTTTAAGTAAAAGCAAAAATAAAATAAAATAAAATAAAGTTATATACATATATATATATATATAAGCGGTGTTGGGAGCCACTCCAGCTGACTTTATATCACACGTGTTTAAGAGCATCAGTCATTACATCTTAATTTGAAGATTAGGGAATAAAAGAAAAAA